TTTACTACTGGTGGTTGGCTTTGGTCGCAGTACCGCCACCTTCTGCTCTGGAGTGTAAACGCTTCGCCTATGAGAAAAAGGAGCAGCGCAAGAACCGAACGAAACACACGCGAACCGAACCGAGACAGTCGAACCGAACAGTTCGGACGGTTTTCATAAACCGTTCCATCCCTAATGTTTTTGTAGCACTTTGAGGCCTTTTTGGTGAAAAGTGCAGTAAAAATTAAATGAATTATATATATGTATATGTATATATATATATAATTTGATTTTTCTTGCATTATGTAGCGTATATGACGTATATGTAGCGTATGGATTTTCTGGTGAGTAACCATTTTGGGAGAACCAGAATACTATCAAACCTTTTTGCAACATTTAGTTTCCCTTTGGGATAAAAAAAAAGTATTTTTCAATTGAATTTGAAAACTTTTCAGCTCTTTATTGTTTATCAACCTGGAAATGTGTACATCTGCTGAAAAAGAAGTATTAAAGTTAAACATTTAAAAACATCCTTTGCCATCAAAAGTGCACTCTGTGAACTGTTTCTTAAGATGCACTCTAACGCTCCCCACAGTCCTATCCCTCTTAGTAACAAATGCACATGATTGCATTAGTCATAAAAGCTGTGAACTCTCATGGATCTGGATTCTCTGCCTCAGAGTTCAGTCACAGTTCAGCCTCTTTTTAACAGGTTCCTCTGCAATGAGCCTAGTTGCCTTTGTTGGAGTGAAGCTGTTCTGAAGAATTAGAGGTCCTGTTGTATAAATAACTGCTAAAATATATAATATAATGGGTTAATGTATGAGAGGCTGCTCTATAAAGTTCAATAAAACCCCTTTGCAACATGTGAAGCTCAACTGAACAGGTTGCTCTTTGAGGGTTTCTCAAAATATGACGGGAAAATCGGATCTGAGTTGAGGGTTTAAGGCATCGTTCCTCCTGCAGGGACGTCTTGCTGCTGTATTGAGAAATCCAGTAATTCTTGGCTCATTCGTGCTCTCTTTTGGGAAACACAATGCAAGTCATGAGGTTTACAGCCTGACCCAGACACAGGGCCTTCAGATTCCCCTAACTGTCTCTACAGAGGCTGTGTGCTGAGCTGTTTTCATCTGTAGCAGATAAACCTTAATGTTTCTAGGCTAGCTGAGCTAATTATTGCTAATTATTTACCACTAAATTCATGAAGAGAGTTTCCAGAGTTTAGAAACAGCTTGAGAATCATTGAAAACATTTTAAAATAGGCCTACTTGTGCGTGAGTGTTTTTGTTGTTTGTTTTGCCATGCATGTCCCCCAGTTTCCCCGCAGCTTTTTGTTTTAATGCTGTCGTCATTTCACAGACATGAACTCACAGACTGCCTCTGAAAAGGTTGAACATCTGGCTTGCATGCTGAAAGCAGCGTTTAGAAGTGATGGAAACCCTGGAGCTCTTTTTGTTTGCATTAGTTTGGAGCTATAACGCATTTCAATCAGGTGAAAACTCCTGCCATCCGTTTGAAGGCTTGCAGGAGGATGTTTCATCTAATAAAATGAGAAGATTTTAATTGGAATTACTTTTTGCAGACACTGTTCTGTTTAATGAGATCAGCTATGAAACACATTACATTATTATTATTATTAAGAAAGAAAGAACACATGTAGCCTGTTTTCTGCATTTTGAACAAACTGAAAACTCTTTTTTCAGAGTGTATCTAGAAGCTTACTTCCCACAGAGGAACCTCTCAGTCTCCAGTGTTCCCTGTCTGCCTGCAGGTCAAGGTTTACCCCTTATCGCAGTACGAGCATGGAGCGGATGACGTCCTGATTCTGGGAACCGACGGTCTGTGGGACGTCCTTTCTAACCAGGAAGTGGCTGAAGCGGTCACCACTTTCCTGGCAAACTGCGACCCAGACGACCAGCACAGGCACGTTCTCCCATCCTGACAGCTGCAGCCGGTCAGGCCTGAACTTCTGCTCACCCGACAGGCGTACAGCCGACCAACGGAGCTCAGTTATCGCAATTGTGTACATTTTTCTAAACATTTAGATTGGATGTGTCTCTGGTGATAGGGAATAAAGACAGACATTCATCAGGCGTCTTCAGATTCCTCCTCTAAGTGTTGTGATTAGTATTTATTTTGTTGGATCTGGTGTTACGGTAACCACGGTGCTCATTAATCACATCTGTGTTGACAGGTACACAATGGCAGCTCAAGACCTGGTCATGAGAGCACGCGGGGAGCTGAAGGACCGCGGCTGGAGGATATCCAATGACAGATTAGGCTCTGGGGACGACATCTCTGTCTACATCATCCCCCTCATGTATGGAAACAAGCAGAACTAGCAGGGTTAAGAAACTACAACCAACAACCCTGGCTTGACCCACTCAGTTTCCCTCTTCACTCTTTTATTTTTTGTAAAGAAGTGCTTTTGTGTGGATTTCCTGAAGGATCCAAGCTGTTTCTGCTCCGAGCTGAGATTTCTGTCCAGGTTTCCTGTGCATCGTCCCCATCAGGGTGCTCTATTTTGGTCCGTTCCTTTATTCTAAAGAAGAAACCGAGAAACCAAACAATGAAAGGAACTGCTGATGACTTGAACTACAGTTTTTTTTTAGTCTTTTGAGGAAGCCATCTTTAACTTTAGCCTGAGATGTTTCTGGAGCTTGGACTGTGGCGGACAGTGCGGCAACATGCATCTCAGGATCGCGGTTATTTGACAATATTTATAATTGTTAAACATGTAAATACCTGCACAGCATTTGCTAAAAGTGGTTTTGTGGAATATTTGCATAATATATGATGAAAAAAAAAAGTCTGGGCACTGATAAGGGGGCAAAAATGAAATGATTTCTGTATGTTAGGCCTCCAGACGCAGACCAAGGATTTCCAGCCAAGGTTTAACTTTAATCAAAAAGAAAGAACAAAGCCCTCTTTCTTTTGCACTTTGTCAACGCTGGAAAAACGATCTAGAAACAGGCAAAAATGTCTTAAATTAAGTGAATTTTTCCTGAATTTGAGAAGGTAAATGAGATAGTTTGCCAATGGAATGTGTATTTTTACTCTTAAAATAAGATCATTAGATAATATGCACTTGAAATAAGACAATGCAATAGTGTTTTCTTATTTTAAATATAAATTGTATTGTTCCATTGGAAAAATGTATCTTTTACCTCCTCAATCTAAGAACAAATGCACTTATTTTAAGAAAAAATGACTTATCTAGATTTCTATTTTTTCGAGTGAACTTATTGTCTTCCTTCTTCCTTTGATTAATAGGGGCCTCCAACATAAATTGATTAATGTTTGCTATTCCACCATTTATCATAAAATAAATCTAAATAGCATCCATACCGACAGCAGTTAAGAGGACAATCACCCTTAAATCTCCCTACAATCAATATCAATCTTGGCTACAGCAGGTTTTTTTTCCCTGTTTTTGTTGAGGTTGAGTTTTGTGATCACTGTTCTGTCGGTACTGGATGTAAATGCAACACTAACTTCGTTCACAGTGCCTTGCAAAAGTATTCAGACCCCTTAAACTTTTAGACATTGTGTTATTTTAACAATCAGGAACTCTCTGGTGTTTTATTTGGGACTTTATGTGCTATACCAAGTAAAAGTGGAATGATTGTTGTGTTGATTAAAAACGATTTCTGGTTTCAAATGTTTTTACGTAAAAAAAACATCTAAAAAATGTAGCAGGTTAGTTTTTAAACCCTTCAGAGGTGATTTATCCAGTCTACATGCAGGTTCTACCAGCTTCTCACAGCTACAGACTTCCTCTGTTCTTTACTAAATAAGTTCAGTCCTATTAATTTAATTATTAATTCTCAATTTTCGCCTCATATTCTCCATGAGATTTAGGTCCAGATTTTTCTTCTGCTGTTTTCTAAAATATAGATGTGCTTCACCAGAGACTGGATCTCTGTCTTCACAGCTTCTCCCTTAGGGGTCCTCTGAACGCTCCGCTTGCCTTTTTTTTTTACAGTAGTTTCACGGTCTTTCACTGGACTGTCAGAGATATTCAAAGCTTGGGATTTGTTTTTTAACCCACCTCCATCTTTGCTGTTCTGCACATTCCTCCCTCCCTGACCCGTCTCCTGTGATTTGTTCCCCAACGCCCTTCAACAAACCTGCAGGGTTTTCATCTGGATTGATTCTCGGAGTAAATTACACACAGGTGAACTTCTGAAGAGATTTTTTTATTTTGTAGGAGTCAAGAGTAGAGGGCCCCTAAAACAGTACATCATGTTCGTTACATTAAATTTGTATTTGTTATGTGACAAAATGTGTAATTGTTGAAGGGCTGTGAATAGTACTGTATAGCACTTCATATCTTTCCAATTGTCGTCTGATCCTGTGGTTTTCCTCACATTTCCATTTATTTTCGACTTTATCTCGGTGGTAGCTGCTGTATGCGTCGATGTGAAACACGGGACCGAGTCAGTTCATTTAAGTGTAAATAAACCTTCCAGTAAAAAACTGCAGTTTGTAACTTTTTTATATATATATATATATATATATATATATATATATATATATATATATATATATATATATATATATATATATGATAAATAGAAGCAATTTTAAAAAAATGGTCAATTGGGTAAAAAAAAAATAAAATTGAATAAAAATCTAAATAAAAAGAAAATGCTCTGGGTGTTTGCTGGTTTTAATTGCTTCGAGAATTATTTGCAACATTCAATAAGCACCTCCTGAGAAAAAGGGCATCTTAACTGCAACTTTGATGCCATTAAACAGCTCTGCTTACAGAAATGTGCCAGTAAAACCAAGGGGCTCCAGGCCTCCTTCACTGCTCGCAGATGTGCAGAAAAGGCTGTAATTACCCCGACGGCCTGATTTAGGGCATGAATAAAGG